TGTCCCCCCCCATCCTTCTTGCTCTTCCTCTCTTTTCCCCTAGCTCTCAATCCCCTGGATCACCTGATTCCCCTCCTCATCCTCAGCCTGATGCCCATTCCCTCACCTGATCGGTATCATACTCAGCCGTCCCGAAGGACCTTCCCCGCTCCACTACCATCCTTGTTATCATCCCCGCGCTTGTCCTTCCCGCGGCCCTTTCCTTATCAAGAGCTTCGCGCCGTTCTGCCATCCCCCAGAAGAGGAGATGCGCGGCTTCCAATGTCGTTTGCGACGTGTAGTTTTTTGCTTATTCGTCCTCCTCTTCCCCTGCTTCTGTTGCAGGGCTTCTTTGCCCCCCCATCTTGGGCCACTCGTGTGGTTTTCTTGACGGGCTTCTTGGCTGTCGGGGGGTCCTCTTCGGTCGTCTCGGGACTCTTGGGCCGTCTCTGGGCCCTCTAGGGCCTCTTGGGCTGTTTTGGGCCCGTCTGGGGGGGCATCGCGGGCTACCATTTTTTTTTCATGAGCCGGAAAGGGGCGAGAATTTGAAGCTGTTCACTAGGGGGATCAATTATTGTTGCTTCTTCAGGTCCTCTTGGGAATTCTCTTGGTCCCCCCTTGGGGGCGTCTATGGGGTCCTCTTTGCCCGTCTTGAGGCCATTTGGAGTGCTCTAGAGGCCTCGCTGGCGCTTTCTTGATCCGTCTTAGGAGGCATCTTGGGCATCCTAGGAGGCCACGGGTTTTGGATTTGGAGGCTCGTCGCCCACCCCCTCCCCGTCTGACAGGAATGTTGGAACCCCGGGGATGGGGGACGGCCAAACTCATCTCACACGCCTTCTCGCCCCAGGCACGCTGGGGCGGGCGGATGTCTCGGTCTTCCTGACTCTCCTCCCTCCTCCCCCCTCCCTCCTGACTCCTTGGGTCGGTCGTTCCCCCCTCCGTCTTCCTCATCCCATAGACTTCTTCATCATCACCCTCACCCTTATCCCCATGCTGCTCATTCCAATTCCTCATCTGGCTAATCCTTACCCTCGTGTTACTCCCGATCATCATCATCATCATCATCATCATCATCATCATCATCATCATCATCATCATCATCATCATCATCATCAGCATCAGCATCAGCATCAGCATCATCATCATCATCATCATCATCATCATCATCATCATCATCATCATCATCATCATCATCATCATCATCATCATCATCATCATCATCACCACCATCATCATCATCATCATCATCATCATCATTAACATCATCATCAGCAGCATCATCTTCTTCATCATCACCATCGCCATCACCACCACCACCATCATCATCATCATCATCACCAACATCACCATGATCACTACCATCATCATCATAAGCATCATCTTCAACATCATTGTCATCACCACCACCATCATCAGCATCATCACCATCATCACCACTATCTTCATCTTCATTTGTCTATTTATAGTTACCTTCATTTTCACCGTCATCATCACCATCATTATCTTTATCCTCATCATCACCATCATCATTATCAGTACCGCTACCATTTTCACCATTACCAGCAACAAAAACCATCATCCTCATAATCATCAATCGCATCGTCGTTATCGTCAGCATCATCGTCATCGTAGTCGTAATTCCCATCATCACCAGCATCAGCATCAGCATTAGTATTAGCATCACCATCAGCATCGACACCAGCATTCGCATCAGCATCATCATGATCAGGATCGTCATCAACATCATCATCATAACCATCATCATCAACATCACCATCTTCATCAAGAGTATCATCATCATGATCATCATCACCATCATCATCACAATCATCATCATCATCATCATCATCATCATCATCATCATCATCATCATCATCATCGTTATTATCATCATCACCACCATCATCGGCAGCGCCCCCCTGTTCATCACCATCATCAGCGTCATCAAACGTCTTCTGTTCCTCCTCATCTTCACTCATCTTACTATTTTCATCGTTATCCTCAACCTCCTCGTTCTTCTCACCCTTGTCCTCCCGACTACCCATCCAGCCTTTCCCCCCCTTCTCTCTCTCTCTCTTGCTAATCGCCCCCGTCCCCGAAAAATAGACTCTTCCCTCCCCTCTCCCTCTTTGTCCTCACTTTCACCACCAAGCTCATTCTAATCATAGTCCTCGACCTCATGCTCATCCTTCGTATCCCCACCCTTGTCCTCATACCCGTCCCCAATAGCGTCATCGTGCTTCACCCCGTCTGCCTCATCGTCATGCCCCCTCATCCTCCTGCATTGTTTCCATTCTTGGACTCATCCTCCCAGTTTCCTTCTACTGCCTACCCCTCGCCCTGGTGTGGAGCTCATGGAGCAGATGAGGAGGACACGGGGATGGGGAATGAGGATTGGGGAAAACTATATGCAGCGGGCTCTCAGCGCCACCCGCCATCGCGCCTCTGTTTTTAAAACGGGCGTCTTGAAGGCGTCTTGGATCTCTTGATCGGCCTGCCTCTTGGGCCTCTTGAAAGCCTGCTGGCTGTCTGGAGGCAATACTTCGGGGAAGGGCTCAACATGTCATTCTAAGCTCCCCTTCTTAGACCTCTTTTCGATTTTTCTTGGCCTGTCTTGCAGGTATTGGCGGCCTTGTCGGGGCCGACCAGCAGATCAGCGGCTGAGCAGCCGAGCAGGCGATCGGCTACTACTTCTCATAATTGAACAGACAATACACAGGAAGCCAGAACAACCTTCTTGATCAGTGCTCAAAGATACACACCAATGAGTAAACAAGACAAACCAAACACTACTACGAATACGAGTAATATTATGAATACCTAGAGCAGTCATGCGACGCATGACAGGAGGATGAGGAGGAGGAGTAGGAGGAGGAAAAGGAGGAGGAAAAGGAGGAGGTGGAGTACCAGAGTAATCACACCTGGCACCAGTCATTCGTGCCGAAGTGCGCCCTCTGGTCCCGAGTCCCCTTGTACGCGCATGCAGGCTTTGCTTTTCACAGCTGCGAGCGCCCGTTGGAGTGGTGAGAGTCCGTCCGTCCCATCGGCCTGCCAAGCGTTCAGGACCTTTATGGACTAGAACGGTGATGCTCCGATTGCCTTAACACAGGATCGGGACATGGGAGTGGCTGAAAGGCCAACGCCCTACAGCCCTGCCAGAGGAAGCGGCCTGTGCGGATAGGAGTGGCGATCATAACTTTATCTAATGGCCTACGGCCCATCCCGCCACCCTGCCTAGGTTGTAGGCTGTAGGTCCGAGGCCTCTTGGATGCTTATGGGGATCTCGTGGGGGTTTACCGGAAGTCTCTCAGGGGCGGTTTGGAAGGTCTTAGGGGCCTCTCGAGGCTTCTTCTTGGGGGCCTCCTGGGACCTAATTTGGGCCTCTTGGGGCCTCCTGGGGCTTCTAGGATCCCTTTGGGGGCCTGCTGGCGGTCTCGGGGGACATCGGGGGCGGAGAGCGCGAACTGTCACTTCGAGCTCCCCCTTTGAGGGCCCTCTTGGGTCCCTCTTCGGGCCTCTTGGTCCATCTGGGGCCCCTCGTGAGTCATCTGGGGGCCATCCTGGACCGTCTTGGGACGATCTTGCAGGCCTCTTGGGCCGTCTTGGAGCGTCGGAAACCCGAAGAGGCAGGAACGCTACAGTCTTCCTATAATCACATGCTCTTGGAGGGGGTCTCTTGGAGACCTCTCGGGGCTCCTTGGAGGCCTCTTGGATTGTCTGGAGGGCGTCGCGGGCAGTCTGGGGGCCCTCTGTGGCCGTCTCGGGGCGCTCTTGGACCCTTCTGGGCGCCTCGAAGGCGACCTTGGGGGCTTTCCGTGCCGTCTTGGGCAGGGCCACCGCACCGGAGGCCCACGCGAAGCACCCCGGGAGCGCCCGGCAGTGCCCGGCTGCGCCCGGGAGACCAGGAGACCGGCCCCCGGAGAGTCTAGAGAGTCCTGGCGGCAGCCGCAGCACAGCCGTGAGCCCTGGGGAACTCCACACTTCGTGCCAAGGGCAGGGTGGCGGAGTCCTGCAGGCGAACCAATTGGGGGGCGGCAGAGAGGGGGGGTGATGACTAGGGGGGGGCGATATCATGGCGGGGGCCACGATATTTCCCCAGATTTCATGGCGCCTCTTCTTATTTCATTACGTCCCTGGCCCCCCCGCTGGGCCGCGCACGTGCCGACGGTCATGATTTGCACCCCCCCTCTTGGACACCCCCCTCTTGGCCGCTCCCGACCAATTGTTCATTGAGATTCGAATTGGAACTGACGAAGCCTGTGCAGGTTCCGCTTGGTTTGGGGCTCAGACCTTGGTAGCATTGGTCAGCCTCCTCCTCCCGGAAGCGATTTGCCCAAAAGCTGCTTTTGGGAGTGGGCGCCTGCCCACCTTCCCAGCCGATGTGCCTTGAGTGCGCAGTTAGAGGAATAATGCCGCGGTGCCGATTCGAGAGCACGGCTTTGAACGCTGGCCGCCATCCGTCTCTGTGGGCGGTGGAGACAGCTGTCCTGTCCTGAATGGTGGTTGTCGCGGGAGGGCCAGGCGATGGCGCGGTTTTGAGAACGGGCCGTTCTACATCGGTGTAGCCGTCGGAAGTCAGGTCAGTCATGGTCGGGAGCTGTGCGGAATTCTCATGCGAGAGCACAAGTTTGAGAACGGACAGCCTTAGCCTTACATCCGCACTCATGGTGGAGATTTTGGGCACTGCGGTTGCAACAAGTGTGGAATACCCTGGCGAGAGCACAGCTGTAAATGCGCACCGCTTTGCACGTTTTGGAACATTGAATCTGAGGACCATGCGCTGCGAGGAAGCCTCAGGCAAAGCGGGACGGATGAGGAGTTTCTTGGGCGGAAGAGGATGGAGGATGGTGAGGAGGGGACGGGGTTGGGGGACCTAGGACAGGAGAGGGACGCCTAGATGTAAAGCTCCACCTCGTTCCTTCCCCCTCCTCGCAGGGATGGGGGAACACAGCCACAGCCAGAGGAGGAGGGGAGAGGGGGGAGGACGGAGGTGGACTTGTGTGACTGCTCGATCTGGCGAG